TATAATGACCTTGTTAGCAAATATAACCTTTCAATGGGTCTTTTTTTGGCTTCCTTGGTTCATATCAATTATTAGGCCTTTGGTTTTGTACTGAATTTGATTATGGGGTGTTCCGTCTACTCGATCTATACATACGGATCAAGGCGGTTGTGACTGGTTGACAGGGGATGCTTGCTTCTCCTTGACACAAGATCCCATCTCGGAAATTACCAGTGGTCCATATTTTGTGCCCTCTTCACAGATTTATATTTTCTATAGATTTTTTGAGATCAATCACTGTTCATTATCTTCACATCTTTTTAAATTTGACACAATCAGTTATTCATTCCTCTTGTTAAGATACTTTTAATTATCTCTACACTGCAAAGTAAAGACTTAATTAAAACAAGTATGTGCATTTAGGTTCACATAATAAATTTAGGATACATGTACACGTACTCGTCATATTTCGAAAACAAAACTTAAAAAAACAATGCAATATAAGTGAGCAGAAATCACTATTGTTTACAAACTTACTAAATACTAAATGTTCAAACAAAATAAAATTTCTATTGTATGTATATCCTATAGAAAGGGGAAATTGTCATCTTTACCCTCATTTGTATTTCATACTAATTAATTAGCGTAGTATCTTAGAGTTTTGCGAGAACTTTAATTTAAGTTTTCATCTATGTTAGCATACATCACAGGTACTTTGTAAACATTTATTAAGGTTTAATTTTTCACTTCAGTAATTGTCGAATTATTGACATTTCTTCAGCTTTATCGCCCAAGTACTTTGTTCTTTTTTTTGTTACCCCACCTCTCTGTGGCAAATCACTGCATGTATAGAACAAAGAAATGATATTGATCTTTGAATGTGTGGAATATCACCAAACTAACACGTATCCTGCTAATTGATCTTATATTTACATATTTTCAATTATCAAAGTCAAGTACTTCGATTATTTTTTTTCATGTGTACCATGTTTTAACATAAGGAACATCGGTTAACAGGTAATTATAAAACTATTGATAAAAATGTCAAAAAAAATATTATACGATTAAGCACTCCTAAACATTTAGCAAAATCAAATTAAGCTACAAAATTTCCCATTTTTTTTTTACTAGAGTTTTAATATCTTTTATCAATACACCATAGAATTCCCATCTTAATAGATATAAAGAATAAATTTTAATCTGTGAAAGTGCAGAGAATCAAGCCTTCAGCCTCAGGGTGTATGAAATACACCCCCGGGATATATGTAAATCCGCATATAGTCTAGATTGAATCTTGATAATTAATATTATTTCCCCGTTAGACTGTATGTTGTTTATTTTCATGTAAGGATTCACAGACATATTTAGACTCATGTAATTCTTTTCTGATTCTATGGACTTTGGCAATGATTTCATTTTCTATGCCCTCTATTGCCACTCTACCTACCTGCAGACTTTTTAAGTTGTAAATCCTCTGATCCAATTATAAATAGAAAACTAGACGAGCTTGTTGCAAAGCAACAAATAAGTCTTCCGTCTAAATTTCAAAAAGATGAGATCGAGAGACCTCTACGGCGATATGTGCAAAAATGAGCCATTTACCATTACTCTTGATGTGACCGGAGGTGACGTCATTTTGACGACTTTTAATGGTCTCCTTAGCTGCTACTTGTCATTTTGAACAACTTTGCTTCTACGATGCTATACAAAATCTCAATACTTTTTAAGATATCAAGAAAACACTTTTGGCCCCTCCAGTTCCCTAATTTTAGGGACCAGCCCCTTCTTATTGGTATCCTTTGAAAGATCGTAACATACTACACAACGTTTGTTCTATATGTTTTTAACAAAATATTTACAGGTAAAAAGATATTGTAGAGAAGTGTTAGAAATTTTAAAATTTCCCGATAGGACTTCTTTCTGGCCATAGCGAGCGTCGACGTGGGGCACTTCCGATAAAAATGAAACGCCTTCCGCATATCTAAAGAAATAGGTCTCATATCTGAAAGTTTCATGTTTATAACTAAAGCCGTTTATGAGAATATATATATATATATATATATATATATATATATATATATATATATATATATATATATATATATATACTGTAAACGTGGAAATTTTGACGACGTGCTAATTTTGACTATATTGACGAGTTTTCTTTTCTCGTCAAAATTTCCACTCGTCAAACTTCATTTCATATATATAGCGTCACAACAGACATTGACCGTTGTACAACTTTACCTCTTAATTTTCTCGGCTTTCCCCATTAAAACTAGATCAAAGTTACTGTTTAATTTTTTTTTGTAAATAGTTATGAAAACATATAATCACAGTTTTAAAAACCGTTGAGTACGTCATATATCATTATTACCCATGGTCACAACATTCTAACTTTGAGTAATTAACACGCCTTGTTTGACCTACTTTGTCACCTCAGGCAATCGGTCTCGAATAATGAAAAGAAAGACTAGTACAAAAGAGCAATTAATTCAATCATATCTTATACACTGTAGATGGTTTTTACGAGCAAAATTAAATTTTATTGATGAGAACGCTTGTAAATGAGTTCCCGAGGAAGTCGCGGTCCTTGCATGCTTATAACATCGTGAACTCGCACAGAACGGCTTAATCGTAGACGTTCTCAAGTAAACTAAGCCAATGTTTCCATCAAGTTTTTGGTCCTCTAGCTTCTGGCGAACTAACTCTGAGTACTAGTTTTGAAACTGTTTTTTTAAGGAGTTCTTTGTATTCATTTTTGTTTTAATCTTGTGAAATCAAAGATATACATAACTCTTGATTCAATATTTCGTCAAAATTAACACTCGTCAATTTTCGTAAACAAAAAATCGTCAATTTTTCAACTCGTCAAAATAACCACGTTTACAGTATATATATATATATATATATATATATAGAGAGAGAGAGAGAGAGAGAGAGAGAGAGAGAGCACAAGTCTGGTATACTCTGGTGAAGTCATCTTGCGTGATGTCATCTTGCGCAAACTCGTGCATTTGTACAGCTAACTCGTGCCAATGTTCACCAATGTTATTAGTTCAATAACTCTATATTATATAACGTAGATATACAATAATCTAAGTCTCTTTTGATACATTTTTTTACGAAATATAAACTGTCATTAATGTTTCCTTCTTGTTTTCATAACTTAGCTTTATTTCTATTTTATATATGAAAAAAAGCTGTGCAAGATAATATATATATATATATATATATATATATATATATATATATATATATATATATATATATATATATATATATATATGAGTGAAATAGTGAATTGTTTGCAGTACTGCCTATTAGTATGTTAGTCATACTGATTTTGAGATTATTAAAGATTTTTTTCCCCATACATTCTTTCATAGCCATTCAAAGTTTATTTTGTGACAAATTGGTTTTGAGGTATGGAAATTAAAAAAAAGAAAATACGCAAACAATCCAAACTAACTAGAATTGTATTATTATAAACTTATAAACTTATTATAAACTTATAAAAACTTATTATAGTTTCTTTTAATCTTTTGGGATCCACATATCAAAGTTGTATCTCTTGAGAAGTTTCTTTTTTACCATTTGAACATGAACAACAGGAAAAGTACAAAAATATTAATCATGTTTATTATTATAATTCCAGATTTTGTTTATTTTTCTAAAGAAAAGGTAATAGTATAAACAAATCCTAAAAAAATGACACAAAACTTTAGAAGAATTAAAAATACAAACTGTATATAAGAATGAAAAAGACTTGAATGATCACTGTTCGTTCCCTTTCCTCTTTTTAATTTTAAAAGCATGCAAGTTTCTCGAACAGGATGGATACCACTTTCTATCCATGTTTTCATTTTGTGCCCTCATTCATACATTTCTGTATCTCTGCTGAATAGAAAGTTTGGGAAACATCCCACTTATATTTTAAATTGTGGAAAGACTGATATGCCGTAGGACAGAGTCACATTACAAATTACTGATTCAAGTCGTGCTTCTATTGCATGTGAACATATATGTACATGTACGCTGTAACAGTATTCTATAAACCTTTGCCCTCTAGCATTTCTTATTGAATACCCCTACTATGTAACAAAATGCAGAACGGGTGTAATAGAATTGTAAGTTCCTAACTTTGTAAATTGTGCATATCATTATGGTTTAAAAATTTATCTACCGGAAAGCTTGCTGTATTGCGTTAGCAATTAAAAATTCCAGTCAATAAATAACGTGGCAAAAAATGGGGAATAGACTGTATGTTAAAGTTTTACACTAGAATAGAAAGGGTAAATAGTATAAAAACTCAAGAATGTGGAGGTCACAGCTTGTCAACTTAAATTGCAAATTTGCAATGAAAAGTTAATGTATATTTGTTGACATAACTACTCAGGCAAGCAAGATATGGAAAACGGTTTTACTAAACATCACTTATATTTATCGATATTCGAGATGACCGATGTCAGAAATCCACGGAGCAGGTACGCAGGGTTCAATGTTTTACCTTTTACCGAGTGCAAAATTAAACAAGTTTTACATTTTATTTCTAATATTTATTTTATTTTTGCAAATTTCTGTTTTTCCATTTCATATTTTTGATACTGTACATAGTTCTTTTGACAGCACACATATAAAAAGTATTTTGACAGCACATATTTAAAAAGTATTTTGACAGCACAGATATAAAAAGTATTTTGACAGCATACATATAAAAAGTATTTTGACAGCACATATTTAAAAAGTATTTTGACAGCACAGATATAAAAAGTATTTTGACAGCACACATATTAAAGTATTTTGACAGCACATATTTAAAAAGTATTTTGACAGCACATATTTAAAAAGTATTTTGACAACATACATATAAAAAGTATTTGGCAGCACACAAATAAAAAGTATTTTAACAGCACATATTTAAAAAGTATTTTGACAGCACACATATAAAAAGTATTTCGACAGCATACATACAAAAAGTATTTTGACAGCATACATATCAACAGTATTTTGACAGCACACATATAAAAAGTATTTTGACAGAATACATAAATATAATCAAATATCCATTTTGTTTCATCTGAAACTATTGTTTTTTCACTCTTTTTTCAAATCTTCTTTAACTTGGACAGTGACACTTTTACTTCAGGAGCTCTTGGATCGCTAAGTATTGTAAGAAAGGCGATAACACAAAAATCACACTGATAGATTTTCTAACATTTTAAAATTCAAAGAATAATTCCAAAAATAGATATACCCGAATTAAGACACAAAAGTTTTTTCTTCGACTTTATATGGGAATTATATATTATGTACTTACCAAAGTATTAAATCATATTTTTGTTTATGACCAAATCTGTAATTGCTTTTATTTCCGTTTGGCCATCGCACCTGCAAAAAAATAGAGGAGTTTACGGATTTTTTTATACACTTGATGTTCATCAACAATTACACCTATAATTCTGTTTTTCTGGGGGTTTTTGTTGTTGTTTTGTTTTGTTTCTGTTTGTTTGTTTGTTTGTTTGTTTTTTTTATTTAATAGACTACAACTGATTTCTTTAGTATCGTGAATTATTGCACGTTTGAAAAAAAAATCAATTTAACATTATCAACCCAATCAACTTTTATAAAATTTATAAAACAGAAAAATCCTTTATATGCTATCTTCAGTATGTGGAATTATCAACATGCGGAATATATGAACACTTGCATAAACGATTCCGTTGAGTTTTACTCGATAAACGATTCCTATGCTATCTTCCTCTCCGTTCTGGTCACCCCACTGCCAATCTGGACCTAAAAATCAGGCATTTATTTAAGTTGAAGATACATTTTAGCTTCCTAAAAATATTTTAAAATAGATTTTTAATAGTATGTACCTCTTACCTTTTTTAACTAGACATCCAACAGCTATATTCTTATTTTCTGGTACATGTAGTCGTTGTTCATCACAAATTGTTAGATCATATGCTTCAAGTATGCCGTCATACCCACATCGATAATTAAATCGGTTCCCATTATCCCACTGCACAAATATCCAACCAACTGAAATGATTTTCGTAGCTTTTGATCATTAAACAAAAGTTTTTTTCAACAAATGTTAATTATTTAACAATAAATCTTGTCAAGCTTAATGATACTAACTGGACATGTTATGCGCAGATGCGATGAGTTCCTGGGAGTTAACCTGTTTCTAAGTACAGATGTTGTCTGTGTTTGCTCAGAGTTCACTCTGTATTAACTAGTCGCACTTTCAGAGTGATTATATTGTTCGTTATCTTAAAGTTTCATTGATGAAGGAGGGAGACATAAATATGCACCAATTATCAGAATACCTTACCTTCTCTGGAGTGGCCGACCACGGTTCCTACTCCATGAGTGTCTTGATTGCCCCATTTCCAATCTGGTCCTCTTCTTACTCTTGTACCTATGCAAGGCATTGTGGGATACCTTTCTCTAAAGTCATCATCGTCCCCATCAACTTCTGTATCATACACTTCTTTTTCATTCAATATTTCACAAACTTGATTCTGAATAATAGGTTTATTGTTAAGCATTCATCCTCCACTGCACTTACATTATGTAGTGTTTGAAAAAAGAGAATTTCAGAGTTATGATTTCTCTCACATTTTTTGACAAGAGCTACTTTGAAGTTTAAGGATCATTTAATTCAAAGATGTAACTATAAGCCTCGTTATTTACTCTTTATGGTGGTATATCAGGTGTGAGCAACGAGCGAGAATAAAAGTGTATTGATAACAAGATAATATATATTAATGCAAAGCATTAAAACGGCCTCCATTTTTTTCACGTGCTGATCATGATACTATGGATCTATGACACGTGATGATGCCGATGATGTCTGCAGATGATGGACACCAAGATAAATGTGAAATGTCGAGAAATAATTGGTGTGTCATTAGCAGCTGTAGCATATTCAAGACAAAATTAATACCATCTTTTCTATTTTGTAATAATCCGGAAACTTGAATCGTTTCTTTAAACATTACACATTCCCATTCTAGGAAGCACTTTTTGTATAAACTTTTTGTGAAGTCATATATACATATTTCTGGTTATAAATGACCAAAAAATTACTTAAACGCATTACCATTAATTATTAAACATAATATAAAACAATTTAAAATTTTCATTCATAACTTTTATGCATGCAATAAATAAAGAATTTTTCTACCGAGGCAATAAAAATTAACATCTCCTTTCCCCATGCTGAACTTCCTATAACACAACCACAAATAGATCAAACTATCTACTGTTAGGTATATTGCAGAACAAACTTACAATATCCCTTTCATTTGCTTGTGGATCTTTTCCTTCTTTTGACAAGATTCTTTTAACCAAATTTTCTGTTATGTCCTTCTCAGGGAAGTCAACCAAGAGTTTATTGGCAATGGTCTAGAGAAATTGAAACTTATTTTTGAACAAATATTATTATCTTTAAAAACAAATATGTTATAAAATAGAAGAAAATAAAACTCACAAAATTCAGGGACATTCTTGCATATTGGCGCGCTTCGTAACGGGGAATGATTCTTCCTCCTCTAGCTGCAACTGCTAATGCTCCCAGAAGGCGCTGTCAAGGGTTTATCATCAATAAGATAGATCCTGTACAAACTAAAGTCCTTATACGAGGAAGAATTATTATGTACTCACATAATTTGGAAAGGTACCAACAGGTATAAAGGTAAATGGGTTCCATCTTCCTTGATCCCCCACAAGGCATAAAAGTCTATTGAATGCCTAAATGGAACATTCACTAGTTCCTTTGTAGTGTAATAATAAGCTTAGTTTGTATGCTATTGCAAATATACTTGTATAGTTTAGCAGAAAGATACATACTTCGCTGTCATTTGATGTGTTGAATGATTCAACAGGGCTTGACATATCTGTAGGATTACCATCAGTAATTACTACAACCCTGGCTCTGATGACAAGAGGATTCAAAGGTAATGTATGTCCTACAAAATAAAATAGAAGACTGAAATAATTATGCAGGGCTAACTGTAGCATGGATTTTTTTTTTTTCAATTGGTTAGATTCTTGTGCCATTAAACTTGGTTATCGTTATGAATCAATTGATGCAAACAAAGAAATGGATGCATAGAATGATATTTTTGGACCTATTTTGGTTTTAAATGATGCATATATCAAGTAACGAAAATGTTAAGAAATTGTTAACTTTCTATGATATTCAAAATTCTACCTTTCCTAAATCACCCTTATAAACCCTTACAATTTTTTAAAATCATTTTATAGGATATTATTGTGAAACTTTGAATGATAAAAGAAGAACATTTATTAACTCCTTCTAACTTGATGAAAGAGAACCTTAACTCCTCCTAACTTGTTGCAAAAGAAATGAATATCCGTTTAACTTGAAGAAAGAGAAATTTTTCTCCTCCTAACTTGATGCAAAAGAAATTAATATCCGTTTAACTTGATGATTGTATATTGTTTTACGTCCCGCTCGAGAATTTTTCACTCATGTAGAGACGTCATCAGATACCAGTGAAGGGCTTCAAATTTAGATCTTTACTCGGCACTCAGGGCCATTGGGCAGTGAGTGTTCTTTATCGTGCCAACGCCTACCCTGACACGGTTTTTAAGGTCTCATCCGAAGGACCCGGAAATTTCACTTCAAAGTGCCGAGCGCTTGGCGAAGGAACAGTTGCTACCTATTTTTTATCGACTAAGGTCGTGATTCGAACACACTACCCTCCAATCAAGGAGCGAGCGCTCTACCTACTGAGCTACCATGACGGCTTTAACCTGCTGAAAGAGAAACTTAACTCCTTCTAATTTAATGCAAAAGAAATTAATTTAACTTGATGAAAGAAAAAGTTGAACCCTCCTTACTTGACGCAAAAGAAATTCCTATCCATTTAACTTCAAGAAATAGAAAACTTACCTCCTCCTAACTTGATACATGAGAAAGACAAAATAATCCCAGCTTCCATTGGCGAAGGTCCCTTGCAGTCGATGTTTTCTGTTTGAAAAAAAAAGGTATCCAATTGTTTTTTTCTTTTTTTTTTTGTCAATTAAATCTCTTTCGCTTCCTTGCACTGATTCTTGTTTCTAACTTGCATACATTTTCATACCTAGACAATTCCTGATGGACCTATAGTTGTTGGAGTAATAGTGGAGAAAAATTACTTCTTCTCCAAATCCTATAACAGCAACATTGTCATCCAAATCTAAAACTTCATATTCTGAAAAACAACAAAGTTATCTGGATATCAACCTTAAAATTCAATTTTCAAATATTAAGATTAGTTGATTTACAATTGATATTTGTTGATGTCAACTTTAATCTGTTATTTTGTCTGCTTATTTTTGCAGCAAAAATATCTGGACATAGATTACCTACTTTTTTTAACAGATATAATTATATATCGAACTACAATATTTGATTTTGTTACCGTTTATGATGTCAAAGAAGACCTCTTTCATTTGAGAAAAGCCTTCTCCTTTCATACTCTCAGATGTGTCAAGGATGAATACTGTACATATTCCTCTTCCATGCTGATGTTTTCTGCGTGTATCTAAGTTGCAATGTAAAACCGTCGATTCAATTCTTTAACTAACAATGTGAAATCTTTGTATTTATGGGCAGTTTTCATGTACGGTTAATCAGTTTTACATTTAAACACTGAAGCTGACTATAATATGGTGGATATATAAGTATTTACTTACTTTCAACAGTTTCCTCTTTCGCCCTATTTCGCCAAAACTCTTCAGCTAATACGTTCTCCATATTGAGTCATCCAGTCATTCTGATCAATATCTTGGTTTTGTCTTTATATTTACGTTGCAATTGTATGCATGTACATATAATAGGACAACTTGTTTGAAGTAATTAAAAAAGGAAGAACATATGAAATCTGATTTGAAATATTTCCCTGTCTATGCCTACTATTATTCGTTTCCTGAAATAATTGTTTATAGTTTTTCCAGTTTGAATTTTAACAAAGCAAATAAAACAAAATTCCTTTATAAACATTTCGATTCGCCGGACCCCTCCATTCTCTTCATGAGTTTTAGAATTCTGGAAAAATATCAACCAGCTAACAGTCCCACTTTAATTACTTAAATCCGTAGACAACGAGAAGAATGCTGGATCAGGAAACTAGGCAAATTTCTGTATGGTTGCAATGACCACACAAATAATGTAGGGCATCTTTCAAGCCCACAATGCGCCAATGTGAATGTGATGGAACGTTTTAAAATATATTTAGACGTATGCGTAGTCATGGACATCGATCTTTCAATAATCCAAATATACATATCTCTTTTTATTCACTTTTGCCTTACGTCAGTAAAAAATTAGGTCTTAATTACATTCGCACTTAACTTTACTTGGTTCACTTGAAATTTTTTAATGGACTATTTGAAGAAACTAAAGCAATTCCATACTTGAATCATTCAACTGCAGAATACAAGCTAGTGTTTGTGATTATGGATGTTGCCTAGCATGAGCTCTTTTAGCCATGAGTGTTGGAAGATAATTCACACTCAACCCGTCGGTTCATTAAACTTAAATTTGCCAACAAATTTAAGGAATAGATACTGTGAATATTAGTAACATTCTTAATCATAAAAGAGTTCAGTCTAGCATTCCACCATATTTCCAGTTGAAGTCTACACCTTGCATTTTCTACAGATATTCCAAAACTATTGCTAAATTCCGAACTTTTCAATTTTAAACATATAAAACTTTAAACTAGATATTGAACATCAAAAATAAAATCCTCTTCAGTGTTCTTGTTCTTCTCCTTCTTTCATCAACTGCTGGACACGTGATTACTGGTGACGTTAATATAGTTGAAAATAAACACCTAAAATCAATTATCTTAAAAGGTCTTTAATACGGAGAGGGGGAAGTGATCGATCTCAAAAAGTCTACAAACAATACAAATCTGTGAACAGGGCATAAACAAGAACCCTCGGAAATTCCAGAGATGGGATCAGGTGCAAAGGAGGAGTAAGTAACCCAACTAGTCAGGTGCTCTAACCACTGGGCTATCCAGGCTAATATCTTCAGTCAAGCTTAAATTACTACTTTCTTTCCTCCTTAAAGAGTCTTCGCCCCCGAAGACACAATGCAAGCTCACCATGTCAGGACTTAGTATTAATTACATATTTTAGTACCTGTATGAACGCGGAAGGCCACAGCACCATCTGTAGTATGGAAAGGAGGGATGAGTTAATATACATTGAAAATTCATAAATACATATTCATATTGAAAAGCATATGTCTGGACTGGGAATCGAAACCAGGACCCCTGCATTACTAGTCAAGTGCTCTAACCACTGAACTATCCAGGCCGATATCCTCATTCAAGCCTAAATTACTGCACATGAATCCATATAACTAACTCGCTAAAGTATATATAGCGAATTCACAATATAGATTTTTTCAAAGTATGACTACCAAATGTAATTAAGGAGGTTTGAAAAAGCTACACTGGAGTTCAAATCTTTTCAAATGAAATGAATTTCAAATATAAATACTTACACAAATATTGTCAGTTCAATATTTTAAAAATTTGGATCTTGGAAAATTCGTTATAAAAGATGTAAATTTCGTTATTTTTACCTCTAGGAGACACATAATCAGTTTGCTATATCTGTAAATTCGCTAGCTATATCAGAGTTCATTATATCCGTCAATTTTTTTAAGGAATTGTTGAAAAACTTTCCGGGGATTAGAAATAACCTACATTCATAAATTCGCTATATCTGTGTTCGTACTAAACGAGTTTTACTGTGAAACAATAGATATTTCTATTTTAATAATCAATTCAGATATTCTCTGTACTTCCCTGTACATGTTTCCATTGTGGTTAATTAATACGTTGATTAAAAATAACTTGATCAAAAATATTCTACATATACTATTGCTTGTTTGTCAGCTTTTAAATTTCTCTTTTTAATTTAAAAAATTTTAATTAAAATAAGCTGTAAATTATGTCATAGATACATAATACGAATACACCTACAACTCATCATCATGTTTTACAAGAATCCCTGATGAAATGTCCTTCATTGTTCTGTGTTTATTTTTGTAAGTCGTAAGAAAGCTAGTGGGATTCCTGTTACAGCAGATGTTTGAGGGGAGGGGAATAGACCTAAAGATGAGGGGTCGGAGAATGAGACAGAAATTCACGTTGACAAAGAACCAAGACGACTCACATTAGACACCGAGGATTAATCAACACTGATTGTCTTCAACAAGATGCCTTTTAAAAAAAATCAAAACACTTGTCCCTCTGTCAATATTTCGAAAGATCTATTTTATTTCATTTTTACATGCATTTGTGTAAATTGGTTGGCATTAACTTTCTCATGTTTCTATGAAGAAGCTGAAGTTTTTCTTTTTAAAATTTGTTTTTCTGACTTCAGTTTTACTTTCATTATTATTTGACAATGTCTACAATGGGATTATCATTTCCATTTATTTAGGACATTATTACTATTGGAACTTCCACTTTAAAAACAGTGGCATAAATGATTTTGTTTTTTCCCAAAACAGATGCTCTAGAACCTTTTAGGGGTTAAGGTTTGGGCATGAAAAATGATGTAAGAAATATTTCATTTTATACTAAGTCTATTTTAAAATACTATAAATACTATAAACTAACATGTGCTTCAGCTGACATGATGTTTACATTGTTAATACTCAATCATCTGTATTACAGTTTTTCCAATGCTTTTTGCATCTTGACAAAAACAATTTATTTATTATTTCTTATACATGATAAATACTTTTCAAAGATAAGTGTAAACAATAAAGAATATGAATACACATATGGTTTAATGTTTATTTTGGTTCACATACATATTTAAAAAAATGCAAATTGATATTGCTGAAGGTTAAAAAATGTTTCATAAAAATGGTTTTTAATTTGTTCATTTAAATTTAATTGACTTATGTCTTTTTTTTTTAAATATAAATATATATGTATATTTAGGTATAATATAATGCGTTGGGCTTAGTTCATGCACTACATCATTATAAGTGCCAGGGAGTTTAGTTTACATATACCATGCCACATTGTAGTAATGTACAAATATGCAGAATTATACAAGGAAACAAAATTCTACATTTCATCAGCAAATTATCAAAATTTATTTTTCTATCATTGTTTGACACACATTCTAAAATTTTGTATGTGCAGTGAAGTGCATTTGCTTCAGTTATCTCAGTCATTATACTTAATATGTATATGTAACTTTTATATGTCTGTGATATTCTTGGATAGGCACAGTTTTAATATTTTTTTTACTATATCTATCTTTTAGTCTATGTCTAGTATATTCTTCTCTTTTTTGTTAATCATGTCTTGATGTATAAATCACGATAAACTAGTCAGTGTAAGAAATTTGAGATAAGTGAGTTGTTCTTGCATTGGATAATGTGGTGCATATTTTCATCAGGGAGATGTGACAATGGACATGTATATAAATTATCATTGTAAAGTGTTTATCAAGATCAAATAATTTGATTAAAATGTCATAAAATAAAAAAGAAAAGACGTTATTTTGATTATTAGATAATGTTGTATTTTACTCTTTGATCAAAACATCATTGAAAGTCTTTGAAATTCTCCCTTTTTTGGAAGAAATTATTGCATATAAGAAAAAAAATTCTTATTAGTCCTTACACCAAATTTCCTTTCACCAGTACTGTTACAGTTTTACCAAACTCATTTCTATAAACCAATTTCGATTTTAAGATTTCTGTTTTCTGTCGTCATATCCTTTTTTCAGTTTTTCCCTTTAATTCTTCATGGTTGCCCGAATGATAAAAATTACTTTTCAAAATAAATGAAAATTCAACATATAGGAAGAAAAATTGGATTTATTACAAATCAGCAATATTATATTCCTCATTGTAAAAATAAAATTTGCAAACGATGACTTCACATTCTACACCAGTACGTCAATACGTTTTTACTTATGCTTAATGCTCAGATGTTAGATTAGAAAAACCATATCAATGTTAAAGCAATGTTGGCTATTTTTTAAAGTAAATTTTATCTCCACTGCTATGATGTAAATGATGACTGCAACAAAAATGAATTTGATATTCACAAGTTGTTGATATTTACCTAATTCATGGGCAAAAATGAAATTATGTTGTTTAAAACAAAGTACTGAATATTTCCAACATGAACTAGATTTTAAAATTTTTTCTAAGTAAAGTATCTAGGAAATTTGCTGGTCATTTCATGTTAGAAATTATAGCTTTTAAATTAAAAAAAACCTTCTGCATTAATAACTTTCTCCAGAATTCAAATCACCATTGTTATTTAATCACTTGGTAAAATTCATTTACTAGTATCCATTCACGTTAAAATTCAGACTGATAAGAAATTTATGAAATCATACATAACACTGGAAAGATGTTTTAGTTATTGTTATGGTGTCCCTATCAAGGATATATTCGCATTAATAACACACTCAAGAAGAACAACCTTTTTAAAAAGGTTTCCTTGATTGACGAAAACATCGACAGGAAGAATACCCGTTCACTACAATATTGATAGATATTATAAAATTATAAACTGATCAAACTTTGGATCCGATTATGATCATGCAAATAAAAATTTCATCAGAATTCATATGTATTTCATATAAACATGAGTACATGCTTTATACTTACAGTTGGTGGGCTGCGTCGTGTGGCGGAGAATTAATCGTAAGTGACTATGGTTTCTCTCTTTTTACGTGAAGGCTGACATTATAAAGATT